TCTGGCTTGAAGATGCTGTGGACGACGGAGGCACCGGAGAGAAGCGAAACAAAGATGACGGCGCATGACCAGGCCAACGATGCAGTGGCTGTGGGAAGCCCCCATCCTCCAAGTTTCTGATTCATCTTCGGTGACTGTTTAGTCTAACCGGAGTATCACGGTGTTTAGGGTCTTCGTCCCGTAGGAAATATAATCTTTCGTTTCTTAACTCATACTTTGCGAAATAATTTTTTTTTGAACTATCCTATCTGATCAAATTTAGTATTCTTACCCGACTTTCTGCCCGATTAATCGGATAAAAAGTCAAACAAACACTTTTGTAATTATTAATTTTTAAATCATTTTAATAATTCAATTAAATAACATACATCAATTTAACAACACAATAAATCAATAACATTAAAATCTAAAACAACAACAACAACAACAACAACAATTATAATAAAACACAATAAAACATGAATATCAATCAATTATAATTGTTACACAAATACAATGACAACTATTTTAATTTTAAACTATATAAAATACATTAAAATCATAACTACTCAAATAAATCACCAGTTTACACAAATCATGTAATTTACACAAAAAACAAGTACATATTTTAGCAACTCAAATATCCATAATAATAACAATGTTATAATATAAATTATACCACATAAATACTCTTATAATTATTAAATAAATATAAAAAAATTAAATATATTTTTTGCAGGTAGGGTAGGGTAGAAATGTGAAAATTGGTGAGTAGTTTGCATTCTTACCTGATTTAATTGGAAGACTAAAAACTCCTCTGCATTCCTATTTGATTTTTGCATCTAGCCATTCAGTAAGGTAGCGTAGAGTAGGAAATTACGGCCAATTAAAAATTTGAACACTCCTAACGGTGTTTGGCAAAAGCAATTGATATTTTAATCTTATTGTAAATGTGGAATTTATTCTTTTTGTTTTCTAGTTACTTTTGATTAATGAAAGACTACTACAATATAGGTTCAATTTTAAGGTTGAACACTAAATTGAACCTACCTTTGGTTTTGATGAATGAAAAACCCGATTTCCACTCGAGTTACCCTGAATTGTGTGACCCAAGTTCAAAAACTTGAAAGGACATCTCTTTTAGTTTATATATCTTGTAGGAAACTTCTTATATTATTCGAAACATCATTGATACCTTTTATATAGTTTATATTTATACATCAATGATGATGATGCACAAATCGATATTACGCAAGATCAATAGTCAATAATATGAACAGAGGCAATTAATGAGCAATAATCAAACAATTAATGGTAAAGTTATAAATAAAGAGCCAACACAAAGAATTATAGTGGTTCGGTTCGGATGACCTACTCCACTTTCGAGGACGATAGCTGTGGCCTAAATCTTTTATTAATGAGTGAAGTCACGGGAGTGAGTAATCTCCAAGAATATTACAATGCTTTAGAGAGAAAGAGAGAGAGAATAATGTGTGTAAGAATGTGTAATGTGTGTAGAGATCTCAAAACTATGAGAGCATGCCCTCTATATGGAGAGGGCTTACATTATATAGATGTGATAAGGCGGTGACGTGAGGAGGAAGTCTGCTACTATTTTAGTAAGTACAGTTACAATAGGAGATTTTCGTGCCTATTCCGATATTTTTTCTCTTGTGCTCTTATTTTTTTGGAGGAGGATCCTGAACTGGATCTTGAATTTGCATTGAAATGGCAAAGTGAGGAGCAATGAGCAGTGCTTGGACAGTTGAGGGGGTCATGGGTGACGCCCCAAGTGCTTGGGCGTTTGCTCTTGGTGCTTTGGGTATTAGCCTCTTGTACCTCTTGGATGTTCGCCTCTTTGATGTCGGCCTCTTGGGCGTTGACTTCTTGATGTTCTTTTGGTTTTCCTCTTAATGGGTCGACCCAGATTCAGTGAGGATCTTCTTTGGGCTTTTTTGATTTATTTAAATTGGACTTGACCCAATTAATTTTGGGTTCATCAAGTGACATCCCCTGTCTTTAAACCACCATTTTTAACCAAAAAAAAAATTCATCTAAAATATCAAAATTACCTATACATAAATTTAAACAATTTTTCTACATAAAATTCGATTAAAATTTATTTTTCTATATATAAAAATTTGAGTAGATTAAAATTTATTTTTTTATATATTAAAATTTGAACCGATTAAAATTCGATTCAAACTAATTAAATTTTATTTTTTTGATGTATTAAAAATTGAGCCTATTAAATTTTTTTTTTACGCATTAAAATTCGAGCTAATTTGAGCTCTACCTGAACTGTAATTGTCGATTAAAATTCATGTCAATTAAATTTTGATTCAAGTTGATTAAAATTTAATCCGAACCGATTAAAAATGAATTTTAGTACATAAAAAAAATAATTTTTAATCAACTCAAATTTTAATACATAAAAAATGAATTTTAATTAGTTCGAATCGAATTTTAATCGACCCAAATTTTAATACGTAAAAAAATTTAGAAAATAGAGGGGATACGTTGAAGATATGCATATCTAGAGGGAGTGTGAATGAAGTTTTTCCTAAAATGTATCATGGGTAATTTAATAAAATTGTATTCTAATTGACACCTTTAATTTGACAAGACGTGTCAATAAAGATTCAAAAAATAGAGATTTTATACTTAAAGAAATAGTAAAATAAAAGGGGGAAATTTTCCCAACAGTCACTAGTTCTGCTTGGGTTGAAATTGCTCGGCTTGAGTTGGGATTGAATTAAAAGTTTTATATTTTATATTGAACTTAGTTTAAACTCTCAACCAACCCAAGTTTTATATTTTAGATTGAGTTTGGTTTGAACTCTCAACCAACCGAATCAGCCAGAGTTGTACCCCTACTTGGGCCAAGTAAGTCTTTGGGCAAAGATGTGAGCCTACCATACTAAATTGCGGGCTAACAAAGGCTCTCTTTTCGATCGTCTAATAAAAATGCAACAGCGTATTTTTTTAAAATTTTTTATTTTATCTTATTTATTATTTTTAAGAGTACATAAAGAAAACTATCTCTGGTGGAGCCAATTTTTTTAATCCATGTTCCAATTGAATAAAAAATAATGCATCAATGATCAACTAATGAAGGTTTAGTATCCGGAGTAGTTTGTATGAGAAGAGTTCAAGGGTTACTTGCTACCTAAAA